GTCAATGAGGTCTGCCATCTTCAGGGCAGACTGCAGCTTGTGGGCTGAGGGCTGGTGAGGCTTAGGCCCCGTGTGGTTGAGTAAGGTATCAATGGTGCAATTAAAGTCCCCACCTACGAGGAGCAGGTCAACATCCTCACTTGCGTCACACAGGAGGGTGGTCAAGGTCTTGAAAAAAATTACCCTCTGCTGGCCATCAGTGGATACGTAGACATTGATGAGTAGCAGGTGGTGTTGTGCTAGGGTGATGCAGACAGTCAGCAGGCAACCGGGGATGATTTCCCACTCTACTGTCACGTCAAGCTGCAGCTGCGGTGATAAGAGAGTCACAATCCTGGCACTAAGATTGGTGCCATGGCTCAAAAACAAGTGGCCTCGCTAAGCAGCATTCCAGGCCACTTGGTTGAGCCCATCAAAATGTGTCTCCTGGAGGAAGGTGAAGGCCAGCTGTGCAAGCTTCTCCAGACTGTAAGCCATCTGCTGGGTGCCTAGATCTTGCTCTATAAGTCTGGCCGCAACTCCAGCAGCCTTGACAAAAAGCTTAGGCTCTGTGCACCACTGGGTGATGCGCCTCACTATATTCTTCTGTCCTTTGGTCTGCTTCAGAAAGGTAAGAAGACCCCCATAGTCAGGAGTGACCCAGAGGGGTCTGCCAACATGGATTGGATGTTGGCAACAGAAGAGCAGTGAGGCTGCACCTCAGGTGGGAGCTCACCCGCAATGCAGTGTTTACACTCTCAATGTCCAGACATAGCAGCCTCCTCTCATCATTCAGGTCAAGGACTGGCTCCAGGAGAGCAAACCCCACCTTCTTTGGGGGGGGAAGAGGTGATCCTGCTCTCGAGGTCACTTGCAACACTCAGAAAGCTGGATCTCCATCTCACTAGCTTCCTCATACAATCCGGTAGGCTGGGACACGACCAAGAAGTCAGCAAACTCCTCTGCCACCCGCTGGGTCAGGCCTCCAGAAGAGAGGCATTCTGTACCATCTTTACTGCCACCTGACTCCAGAAGCTGGGAGACAGGTGAGGGGTTCGTGACCCCTGCCATCACTTGCCCCATTGCCAAGTCATCCTTGTCCGTGGTCACATGCAATGGCAGGACAGAGATGGGGTGTCCTGAGAGGCCCCCTTCGCCTTCCTCTCCTTGTTCTTCTTTGTGGTGGGCAGCCCGGCCTCCACAGGGGATGGGGCAGATCGCCAGCCACTTCAGACAAGGCCGTGGTGGAGGGTGGCCAGGAAGAGTCTCAAGCCCCATCATTTGACAGGGCCCTGGCACCACAGTCACCAGCTGCCCCAGCTGCCTTGGCTGGGGCGGTCAGGATGGGCAGGGGGCAAGTGGAGGCATCAGCCCTTCCACCTGGTGGGGGCTCTACACCAGGAGGGTGGGTACCATAGGTGGGACAGGTGGGGGAGAGGGCTGGGGAGTAGTCTGAGCCCCTCCACTGGATGGTGCTCTCACACTGGAGACCCCAGCCCTCTCAGATGGAATGGGGGTGAAAAGAGGTTGGGAAGAGATCCTGGCCTCACTGGGCGGGGCTTGTGTCCCAGAAGTGGATGCACCATCCTTCAGCACCACTGCAGTTGATGATGTTCTCCCACAGGCACTGGGCTGCTAGGTGGGAAGAGCTACCACACTGGAAACACATGGTCTCCCTGAAGGAAAAATAAATCACAAACCTCTGCCCATCGAGTGTGAGGTTCAAGGAGTGAGGCAGAGACTGGGGGCCCTCCCTGAGGAGCATCAAGACCTGCCTCCAAAAAGACAGGACATGCTTCAGCTTCAGGTCCTTGCTTTCGATTGTCAGTTGGCGAAAGGGACTCATAGGAACCCCACAGTGTAGGAATCCCTTGGCCAGCTCCCAGTTGAACAGGTATGGGGAGATGTTGGAAATCACCACCCTCACCGCCTGGGTGTCTAGAGGTGTGACAAGACAGTGATGCCTGTGATGTCCAGGCCCTCTGCACACACCCTTGTAAAAATACAATACAGAAAGGGATGAGTAAAAAAAGGGAGGGGTGTGAGTGAATTAAGAGAAAAAAAATGAAAAAGAAAAAAGAAAAAGGATACTTAGCACCCCTTGAAAGGCAAAAGATAAAATAAGATAAGTCCCCACAGCAGACAAACAAGAAAGACTTTTTTTATAAAGATTTATTAAGGGGAAAAGGGGGTAACAACCCAACAAAGTAATAAAACACTGCCCACACAGAGGCCCAGGTACAACACACAAAGACTAGGGCTTTGGCCTGCAAGCCCTGCCCTCATAGTCTAAAAACAAAAATATCTAGCGCAACATCAGCCTGCTAAGACCCCTGCCGGTACTCCAGGAAGGGGAGGAGCAGTATCACAGTGCGAGGACTAAATGGCCACTTTCAACACTGCAGAGCAACCTCAATGTGCCTGGAAGGCAGGCACCATCTGCTGGAGGACAGCGTGCTCAAATTCCAGTGACAGGCGTGCCTGCACCAAAAACTGAAAGAGCTACAGGGCATCGCCTGAGCTGGACCCAGCAAGTCGGTTCCTGTGGCTCTTGAGGATGGCCATCTTAGCCTGGCCAAGTAAGAAGTTGGCCAGCCAGATGATACCCCCACTGACTGTCCAGTAAGGGAGGGAAAACAAATAAGTTGCCTCTGAGAAGGCCAAACCTAGCACCTCATGCAAAGTGCTGAGGGCAGCTAACAGCTGTGACAGCCAGGGGCATCTGAGTAAGGCATGGTTACGGTCCTCCTCCACTCCCCCTGGACAAAAGGGACAGGTCACTGATACAGCTGGGTTCATGTGGTGGACGAGAGTGCCGGTGGCCAGTATCTCATGTAGCAACTGCCACTGGAGGTCACTAGTCTTTTTGGAGATGGGGGGGCTTATTACATATGCGCCACGTGGGGTGGACTGGTGTGAGCACCAGTGCTGCTACATGCCTCCGCCACACCGTGCCGAGTGACAAGGACACGGGTGTGGCAGACCCGGATTGCCCACAGATACAGGGCCTTCTGGGGGAGCATGTTGAAATGGATCCTGGTACCACTGTCAGGAGACACAGGGAGAGCCAGTAAGGTGGCAGGCCCACCACGCAGGTTACTATCCACAACCAGGACAACGGGCAGTGGTGGAAAGGGCTCGCCCAGGACATCCCCAGCAGGGAGGGCTCTCCGTGCTCAGAGGTGCTCCTCCAGGGTGGCTGTCACATCCTATGGGAGAATGGCCTGCACATCCCTTAGGAAGTGGGCAGCACAGCAGACTGAGTGCATGCCCACGTGGGTGGCCAGAGCCTCATCTGACAACCAGTCTGACTGGGTCATGTCGAAGAGGTGTCCCAGCCGGATGGGAGTCAACAAGGCTGCTAGAGGTGAGACTTGGCAGACTGTGCTGCAGGGCTGGGTTATAGACCAGGGGCTCCTGCAGCAACTGTGGAAACCACAGATGGCTGGCTTGGGGCAGGAGGCAGAAGGCAGCTCGCCAGGACCACACCATGCTTTGATAGAAGGCCAGGAGGACATCCCAGGCAAGAAGGGTGGAGTCTAGAAGGAACAGCTCCCAGTTGAAACCAAGGCCCCCCACCCAGTGCAAAAACAAATTAGCTAGCTGCCACCAGGGGAGGAGGTCCTCACTGTAGAGGAGCCTTTGGAGGGCCTGTAGGTGGAAGGCTGCCACCCTGCCCACCAAGTCAACCAAGCCCTGGCCCCACTCGGCCACCAGCAAATAAAGAACAGCTCAGGAAGGCAAGAAGGAAAGAAAGAAAGAGAAACAATAAGAAAGAAGCTGCCAAGTAGACAAATGCAACTTTTAGATGGAGAAACCGGAAGTAGAAGAGGGAGGGGACAGAGAACAGAGGGAAAAAAAACACTGCGAAAATGCAAGAAAAAAATCAGAAAGTGAGGTAGACAAAAGCAAAAGACCTTTAGACAGGTGGGAGTCAGAAAAGAAAAGAAATTGAAAGCCGGGGAGTCTTATACTCAGGATAGCACCACATAGCTCCAAGTGAGCCTGGTCTGAGGCATGCAAAGCAGAAGGAAGGAAGGAAGGAAGATGTCTTGAGCTGTATCTGGAGAGAAGGATTAAATATTTTAAGAGACTGGCGCTTCTTGTACCAGATTCAAACTACACAGAGACCTAATTCTGGACCAATAACTATGAGTTTGCTTATTATACCTGGAGCAAAACACGTCCCAAATCTAAAATAAAGGTTGAGACTACAGGCCTCTTAGATCTATCAGGTAATAGTTCCAAATCCAAGAATGAAAGAGAAAATTTATTGGGACAGCTGGGGCAGAATAAAATGGAATGGAGACAAGTTGGTTCCCAGATTGCTACTGAAGTTGATACCAAACATACTGTTATTGTGGGCACTTGAGTCCACAATGAAACTGGTGCAGGGAGATTCCTTGTAGTTGGCACTAAGATACACTCGTATGTAGATCATGGTATTAAAGGAGAGGTTGCAGTGGATACTGATGCTGTTTCAAATGTTACTGGTGCCATAAATACATCTTAGCTTGCAAAAAGGAAGGGTATGGCCACTCTTGCCTCTCTATATATCTCCAGTGCTGCCAGTATGTAACTAAGGTGTCACCATCAGTGCCAGACTGAAGAACAAAAGTATAGTCAGCTCAGTTACTTCAACATTTAAAGGACTCTATGACTTCAGTATTTAAAGGTAGTGCCAAGGGCCTGAAAAAAATATGCAGGGAGAATGCATTGACCCAAAAGAAACTTCAAGAGAAAGCTCTGACTGGTGCACTGGGTGCACACATGCTAAGTAGGGATCTATGCACTGAAAGAAGAACAAAATTATAAAAACAAACTATATTTAAGATCCTGGCAATAGTTATATCAGCATATTTATTTCCTGAGTTTCTGTAATTTGTGGAATTCTGTGCATTGCCTACAGGCTAGTCTCAGTTAATTTCAGCCATCCATCTGTCTACTTTGAATTCCTGAATTAGGCAAATAAGGCCCCAAATTTACAAACACTTGTATGCAACGTATATATTTCTACTTACCATTTATGATATTTTCAATTTTTTCTCCATGTATGTTGTAGAGATATTTTGCTGGTGAAGTAAGATTCATTTTCATTGTGCATTCATCTAAAAACTTAATAAAAATATAAGAACTGCCTTTACTACACCTAATTAAAGTGCTATCCTATTTAACACACATATTAAGAACGTGGAAAATCATGAAAAATATATACTTAAAATCTATAATCTAAATAATTTATTAACATAATGTTTAAATGGATTAAATTAATTATGTAAAGCTAGTGATTCTTGGAGAGACCAAAACATAGAGACAAATTAAGTAAATACTATTTGGTCCTCACACTAAATCTAACTGTGAATATTATGGTCCATACATCAAAATCTATACCAAGTATGATCAAATATATGTCCTATATTGTCAATTGGAAAAAACAATTCAAGATAAGCAGGAAAAAAAGATGACATAAAAAAATGTAAAGAAATACTTTTTACAAAATCTGAAATAGGATAAAGTGATAAAAATATACTTTGAAAAAATTAGAGTTTTGATATGATCAGTATCAATAACTAAAAGTTGTTTATAAGCCAATGAAAAATATAATGTAAATATGTACATAAAATAGATAACATATAATATATTAAAACATTACTATTTCAAGGAATACCTAAAAGTTTGATCCTTAGCTGTACCACTTACTTCAAGTCTGAGGCCAACTTCTAATTTAGACTGTTTTAAGAAGCTGGTTTGACCCATTTTAGCCTTTGACATGTCCTTAGCCCTCCTCAACACTCCTCAATACTCCCCCTGTAGGGGTAAGCAGATGTAAATCTGGCAAGATAGGTACTATACCACTAGAAATACCCTCTACCCTTCAGAAGAATCTTGAGTTGTTCCTTTATGACAAGGTAGGTTTGGACTGGATATCAGGAAAAACGTCACTGTTAGAACAGTGAGACAGTGGAATAGACTGCCTAGGATAGGCGGAGGGAGAAAAAATTATTTGGTAGCTCTCACCACTGTGCACACCCTGGGAGGGCACATGAGGCATGTGCCCACAGATCTGTGTGGGGGGAGGTAGGCTGCCACTGCGGGCTGAGGCTAGGGCTGCACTGGGCTCTTCCCAGAGCAGGGGGGTGGGCCATGCTGTGCTTGGGGCAGGTGATGGCAGTCCTACCACTGTCCCATGTTTGCAGGTTAAGCCCATTTAGTCCCCACTTCTGCTGCCTATGCTGCCTAGTGAAGTTATGAAATCTCCATCAGTGGAGATGATCTAAGAAAAGCTATGCCTATGTTTCTACTATGGGCATTTCCCATGCTTCTGGGCTTTGTTGATTGCCACATGAAGCCAGGAAGGAATTTTTTCCCTTCTTTCTGCAGCATGTGTCAGTAGGGTTTTCTTCACCCTCCTCAAGCATTGGGTTTTTGCTGTGGCCCCAGCTGGGGATTTTGACTAGGGTATGCCAACACTGCTGCTGGGACTTACACCTGGAGTTTCCTGGCCACAGGGTCTTGTCCCTCCCTCAGTTTCAGACCAATTACCATATATGGATACCATGAAGGAATTTTACCCCATGGTCAGATTGGTACAGACTTTGCAGGGGGGGGGGTTGACTTCCTCTGTAGAGGGGTCCCTCTTCCTTGGATCTCTCCAGTATATTTTAACAATCTTTGCAGTAGCAGGATGTTGGTCTCTGTGATTCTCCTGCTTGCTTGTGTTAGGTTAGGGTGTTATGTCTTGTGGTTGTGTTGGGCCTGACTGTGTAGTTTTGTAAATAGGTTAGACAATGAATTTGTATAGGATGGTTGGGATGTGGATGATCTTGCCTCAGGCAGAGGGATAGACTAGATGACCTCTAGAAGTTCATTCCAGCCCTACTTTTCTGATTACATGATTCTATGACAGCTTTAAGTTAAATTTACATCATTCCAGTGGTGGAAATTTGATTTTTTTTTAAATTACAATAATACTATCATCATAACCAATTTTTCATATTGTACTACTGACCACATACTTAAGTGGAGACTGAAGCTTTATGATATACATATACATTCTGCCTCAAAAGCTATTACAAACCATAAAATAAGATAGATGGTGTAAGAGAAAATAAAAGTTAGTATCAGATATTAGTTAACTGAACTGCATAAAAAGTGGCTTTCTTTTATTAAAATATGGAATGTACACACATGGGTATTGGGATATGGTAGACATACAGTACAACACAAGAACATCTTAATAGGACTGAAGTAAATAGAGCAAATGAAGCCTTCTAAGAAAAGAAAGGAGTAAAAACACACCCGTAGATTCCCTTTTTGATACTTGTGGAAGGGGAGAAATGGGACCTAGGTCACATCCACTACCCTCCCCACACATAATTAAATTCTTCCAGTAAATGTAAAACTAGAAATCTAAACTAGAAAATGGAGGCTGCTTTCATATTAATGTAGGTCATTAATGTTAAGTAATCTTTAACTTTTTGGAGATAATATAATTCTAGTGAAGGTAGAAGTTCAGATGGCAGTACACTGTCTTTTTTATCCAAATGTCTTTGAGAATAAACTTGAATAAACTTACATTGTCAAGATTGAACATATTCAAGAACATTTTCAGTGGAAATGCAGAAATCCTGAGGGACTTGACCCTATTTTAGAAAACGATCGGTTGTGGATAATGAAAACTATAGTAACATTTAAGATACTATTCACAAGCATATGTCTCTATTGCAAATGATTCCTTCTATTTCTGCAATAATTTTATATATTCATTAACAAATTCAGCAAGGGAGTTTGCAAGGTACAGCAAACAGCAGTTTAAGTTATGTCTAAATATCCAACATTACCCTTCTCTAATTATATGTTCCATAAGTGGATTTCAATTAAAGTACTCAGATTTATTTTCATCTTGCTTTCTCCTATCACACAAACAAAAGCATTTGTGGAATTTTCCAGAACTCATTGGCTTGAAAGTCTTGCAACTGAATTTTACTAAAGGTGTTTCCCAATTTTTTTCTTCATTTCCTAAACTTTTCTGAAAATCATCTTAAAATGTGATGGTATTTTTATCACCTCTGTAAAAATAACAGCTAGCAATAGATGAAAAATAACAGTTGCTGCTAGATGGAAGTAGAAATTTCCTTTCAATTGGAAGACTTAATGAGCTCTCATGGACCTTCTAGTTCTTGGTTCTCAGATTTTGGTATAATCAATCTTGCTCACCACTGTTTATTTCCAGCTGATGTTGGGCTAACAGACTATAGCCTTGGTCTTACTCCATGGAGTTTGCTTCAACAGAGCAAAGGGATAGAAAAAAGCATGGCCAGAAATTCTGGGAAGCCTTCACTATATTTCAAGCAGTTGCCCCTTTGGTCCCTAGAATCAACGGGGAGGAAGGTGAAGTAATGTCATTTTTGCCTTCACCTGAACAGTCTTTTGCCTCCCTTACAGGGTTTTAATTGGTTTGATGCTGAACCTAATTCAACATATCCAAAGTGTTCCGGATTTTTAGTAATGCATATTTAACTGTAAAAATATTTAGAAGCCCAATAATCAATACAAAATCTAGTTTGATTCATTTTTACATACTAACACAACTAAGCAGTTTCACATACAATGTTTTCCACGTGCAAGGTCAAATAGCTAAAGTATGTTTTCTCTTCTCATCTGCATGCAACTTAGGTGACAGTGGGTGTATCTACATGTGTGGTTTACTGAGGAATTGACTAACTAGCTCCACAGTAAAGAGCCACAGTCTACATATGTGCTGGTATTAGGATGCAATAAATTCTGCTGTAAGATAGTAGCCATGGACTGTCTTATGGCAGATTTATAAATACAACAAAACACACAGGTAGATTGTGACAGGGGCTGGCTGCTACCTAGCCACATGGCTCCACAGGTTCTGCACCTTTGTGCACCCACTGACCATGAAGTCATAGCACTCAAGATCCTAAGGAGAGGAAGGAGGAAGAGCAGCAGAAACAGGCACTGGATTTCAGAAAAGCGGACTGTAACAAACTCAAGTAACAGGCAGGATCCCCTGCTGGGGTAAGTCTGAGGAGGGGAAAGGCATCCAGGAGAGCTGGCTGTACTTTAAGGGGGCCCTTCTAAGGAGCTAGTTATCTTGATGCAATGAAAGAATGGGAAGTGCAACAAGAGGCCAACCTGGCTAGACAGCAACCTCTTCACTGAGCTGAAACTCAAAAAGGAAACCTACAAAGACTGGAAATGTGGTCATACTACTAGGAAAGAACATAAAAGTATCACACAGGCATGCAGGGAGAAAATTAGGAAGGCAAAAGCAATTCTGTAGGTGTGTCAAATGTAACAAGAAGACTGGAAAAAACCAAAGGTCCCTTAGAGAATGCGACACGCAATCTAGCTATGGATGATGCAAAGAAGACTGAAGAATGTAATGCCTTTTTTACTTCAATCTTCGCAAACAGGTGCAGTTACCAGGTGACAAGTAGAGGTGGCATCAAAGACAGGGAAGGTCAGAAACAGCATAGAGTAAAAGTTTTCCTTAGAAATTTTCAAGAGTAGGTTAGACAGGCATTGACTGGGATGGTTTAGTCAGTGGTGATCCTGCCTTAACCAAGGAGTTGAACTAAACTTTGTGAGGTCCTGTCCAGCCCTACTTTGTTATAATCCTGTGTTTCTTCTCTTTTATCATGACTGTTAGGTTAGGGTGGCTAGGTTAGGCAGGACCAAGTTTGTCAAACCTGAATTCCCAGGCCTATACAAACATACTAGAAGATTAGCAAGGCAACAGAACCACCATGACAATTCCACAGAATTACTTTCCAGCAACATTTAAAAAAATCAGGGTATTTTTAATTTTTAAAAGTATAAATGGAAAAATTGTTATTTTTAAAAAAATCCTTATGATATATAATATTTAGTCTGAACATGAATTCAATTATTTAATA